GAGTTACGCTAAATTCTAAAAAAAGTGTGACAGCTTATAATTTAGGTAGCTTTTATATAGTATCAAATCCATTTTATATAATCAATTATTGGTCAATCACAAATATAATAGCCAAACGTTTGAAATTCATTACTAATAAAAACAATTAAAACTAATTGACAGCATAATGTCACTTAAAATATGAGAGCCTTTTTAGATCTTTTAAATGTATTTCGAAAATAGATAAACCCATCCCCCCCCCCCCCAAAAAAAAAAAAAAGCAGTACCATCTATGCAACGGGACAACTGCTGTATCTATGCATTACCATTTTAAAATACAACGACTTACTCGCGGAGCGGATATGGACAACGAAATACGGCAGTAAAATAAACCGAAAGAAAAAAATCGGAACAACCCTAATATATCTCGATCACTGCACTGCACAAAATGCAACATTAGACACTCACTTATTGTTGGTAAATTTTTAATTACCACTTACAGAGGACAAGACAACCCATTAGAATCCATGTCGTGCTATGTTACAATTCATCAAAGACTAATTAGGAACTGTATTGTAATCAATGTTGTAATCTTGTGCAATTTGTGCAAAAAATCCGATACCGTTTGACAGGTGTATTCTCTAAGTTAGGTTATTTATGTGCAAAGATTCTTCAGCTCTATATCTTAGCATCAATACTAAATGAAATGTGTCATGCAAGAAGTAAATAGTCTAAATGACATCACATTATCTTAAAACCATCTCAAGTACTTAAAAATCAGCTTGAATAAAACGAAATTGAATAAATAAAACGGCGTTTATTTAATAACCATATGATATGAAAAGTATCTCAGTTTAATGGCTTAAACAAAACCTCGCTTTGATCGTGGCTTCAGTATTTGGCCTGACGTGATTAGAATCAATTTTATGAAGATTTAATCGTTATGAAATCAATTAGGATTACTAACTTTAATCCTGTAATGCAGGTGTCTGTTTTTCAAATCAGATATTACGTTATTTGGTCTTGGACCATATTACAGCCTTGTCATTGAGAGAATCTATATATATATATAATTGATCCGCGTCATGACAAAACCAACGTAATGGGTTTGCGACCAGCATGGATCAGATTAAGGGGAGCGGTGGCCTAGTGGTTAAGGTGTCTGCCTCTCAACCCAGAGATCATGGGTTCGAGTCCTACTCGGGTCACGACAATGTTTCTCCATGTGACACCAGTACTGGTTGGTTCCAGGAAGCGGACTCGAAAGTGATTAATATAAGTTGCAAGAACTTGTTTCGCAATTGAGCTTAAATAAATATGTTTAAACCACCAGCATGGACCCAGACCAGCCTGCGCATCCACGCAATCTGATCAAGATCCTTGCCATTCGCTTACAAAGCTTATTACAAGTAGTAGAGAAACTGATAGCGAACAGCATGGATCCTGATCAGACTGCGCGGAGGAAAACCCATTATGTTGGTTTTGTCATGGCACGGTTCATATTATACTTTATAGAATATTTATTACTGACAAACTTCTTAAACATGTCTATTGTTATCACGAATTGCGTAAATATTTTACCAAGTTTTAACATTATTCAGATTAAGTTTTAGAATTTATTTGTAATTAAAAAACTCTTTTTTCCACTAGATATAAGCAAGCCTGATTTCTATGGAGATGTGGTTTACAAACTTTGTAGGATGATGGGTCATAGTAACTTTTCTGCTCCCTTCACTAAATTAATTTAACGTTTTCATTAAAAGAGGTTATGACCAAAGTATTTTAAGGCATAGGCGAACAGCATTCTTGGGGTACAACCCTTTTACAGTTGGACGCTATGCCTACATCTGAGTAGTCATGTAGTCCTCTTTTGATTACATCTAAGTAGAAAACTCGATGATAGGCAGTTCTAAAACCCCTTTGGGACTGAATTATCTTAAAGTTCGTCTTCTGTCTTGCTTCGTTTGCCCTTTTTGTATATATTTACACGATCATTTATGTGTTTCATTTATTTCGTATAATGTAACCATAACCATTGTTAAAATTTCACTTGGCGGGGATTAATTTTATTTACATTAAATTTCATATGGCTAAGATCTAGTAAGGTTTGGCGCGCCTAAAACCGGTTTAAACAGCCCAGTGGTGTAACTACCTCTGACCGTTCCAAGGCGGTATCCCTCTGTGTTCCTTGACGTGTTTTACATGTGTGTATTTTTACTTGTTTTGAATTTTTGCATGTTTTATTATGTCTACTTTTTTAAATTGTCGTTAATGGTTAGTATTTTCTCTTCTCTCCCCCCACCCTTTTTCTAAATTTTGACTCTCCAATCCTTATAACCCTTGTCCCTTTAATTCTCGTATGGGCCCGTTTTAGTTTTTATTATTTCACACAAAACGCGTCTCTCTCTTATTTTCGCCACCCTTTTGTCCTCTCCCGGTTTTGGTTTGGTGCCTTCTGGGTGCCCTGCTGTGGTAGCTCAGGTTTGTCGGGGGCTGCGTCCTGTGAACGCTGCCTTTGCCTTGTTTACCTTTTATATCGTTTTTTTAAAGTAAAATATTGGTTCAGTTTAGTAGAGTTAAGTTGAGTGAATGTTTCTGAAAACACATAATATATATCCCTGATGATAGCTAGCAATCTGACGAATTTTAAAGATTTTCCTAATGTATATGGCCAGCATATATTTATTTAACATATTTATATTACAGGTTATAAAATGTTTTAGAACATTCCATTTCATCACGTAAATGTTCATTCTTAATCACTTTAAACGTTATCAACATTTTGTATTCAAGCAATGATTTATAAGAATATTCAAATGATACATTTCTATTGGTTTTTTATCAGTATTTGAAATAGTTATGGGAAATTAAACTTAACATGAAACAACAAAACATTGTGATTTCCACTTTAGATTCTCGTACTTTGATCTTTGATTTAAATTATTCTTTCGTCCCGCCGAAATATTGAAAAACAACAACAAACAAAAGATAACACGTCTTTTTTTGTTCTACAAACTATCGTACACAATATAAAAAGTATTTATTTTTCTTCGTCCGATCTAAAAAAATATCACATAAATGATCAATAATGTTTTAATAGAAATGTTCATGTTTGTGGTTTAAACAAAGACTGTACATTTTTCTGCCTATATCTGGACTTATTTTGAATGTGTATACGATGAAATTAAGTAGCAGGTGCATGGTCATAAAACTACCTGTACTCGTCCAATTAAAAACAATTAAAAGACCTAATCAACATATTAAATTGCATTTTTGTAATATAAAACCTATTGTTTTCATGCTATATCAAGCTTATTGTATATCCTGTACATTACACTACAAGTCAACAAACTATCTAATTATTAAGGACCCTGACTAATGGACTTTTTCATCCATTGTGTGCTGAAGACCATTAAGCAACTTGTCAAAGAAAACAGCAAAATTGTATACTTAAGGTCTACATTTAACGAATAATTGTTTGGGTAGGATAGTTATCAAAACCCGCCTGTATACATTTTCAATATAATGACTGCACATATTCTATTAGCCAAGTTGTTATTTAATTAAGTCTGTCACAATATCTTGTTAACAGGCAAGGCTATAAGCTGTTTTAAAACCAGGAGTACAACTGATGATTCATAAATATTTTCCGAATGAAACACATAACTAGATATATTGCTGTTTTTATTTCTGTTGTTTTTTCTAGGCATCAAAACATTCCGCGAAGACAGTGTTCATTAGTTTGTAGATAAATACTGTTATGTAACATGATGTAAAATAAGAATGAGATGCTAGTTTTAAAATGCTTCTATCAAAGAGTTATGAAAATTTCGCACGAATTCTCACGTATTTAGTATACGTGTGTGTATCTCTGTAGTTCTGCATTATAACTTAAATGTGGTTTTCTAATTTAGAATTAAAGTGTTAAATGTTTATGTTAAGTTTTTGTCTCGACTCATTTCCTGCTTGGCGTTTTTGTTCTTGATTAAAACAGCAGGAATTGATAAAAGAAGATAAACATTCCTATAATGCAGATATGATAATAGCATAAATTTCACGTAAACTAAAAAATAGTTCATTGTATGAACTGTAATATTGCAAACACTGTCCATTATATAAAGCAAGCAAAGAACAGCGGAACTTGTTTAACCCTTCACCGGTTGACAGTAGCAATGTTTGCAAACTGCCCGGTACAAAACCGGAAACTGAGTAAATCGACGTCAAGTCAAGTTTATATCTGTTCGACAATATTATAATGAATTTCAAAAAAAAAAAGTTTAGCAGACGAGGATGATGATGATGTTTTATAGAGATTTAACCTTTCCTAATTATTATATCCTACTTTCAGAATGCAAATGGGTGTGTCTTATTTTAAATGTTAGGAACATTCTTATCTTTCTTACTTAAATAAAACTAGAGAAAGTCAGAAAATATAACTATTGATTGAAGTGAATCCGCTGAAATTGAAAATATCTGTACATTTCTATCAAACAGTAAAGCATCATCTCATTTTCATTCCAAAATACACTTGCACGTATATGTAGTAATAATCATACTGATTTAAGTCGTTATTTCTACATTATGCCATTCTGTTAAACGCCGAATGAAATACAAAATATAAAAAAATGTTGACAATTTCATGCTATTAAATAGGACATAGAATTTTTGTATAGTTTAAATGGTTAAATATTTGTAGAATTTTACAAAAGGTAATTAGTGGAAATAATTAATAAAATCTGTCCCAAGTCAGACTTCGGTATAGTAACATGCGGTTGTTTCAGTTAGTTCGGTTCACTAATTAATTACATAAGGACGCTCCACGAGAAGATCCCGAATAACGAAATCGTTCTATCAAATAAACCTTTGACACCGGGTACCAAACCACGTGACATATCAATTACGGTAGATTGTCTTTTTCCATACGTTGATTGACAAGTTGGGGGCATTCCGCAACATAGCACACGAGCGATACCATAACCGGTAAACTTGCATATAAAAGCAAGTTATTAACAATTCATGCTAGTAATTGGTGGAAAAAATTAACTTCGGACGTGAAGGAGATTAATTTCTCAAGTTTTTAATTGATTTAATACAGTTTTACTTTTCCGAAAATAATATAAAGTTATAAAGTGTTTAATAAATATTTCCGAAAAAATAAATATCTGAAATTTTTATATGTTTTGGTAAAAATCCGAACAACAGGCATGTAAGTCATACTGTCGAATTCATTGATAGAGTAACAACTGTGGTTTTTGTGGTGAGACGTGTAGGAAGAGAATAGAAGTAACTTTAGAGAGATAGATAAAACCGCACGAGTTGTCGGAATTACGTGCTTGTGAAAATTCTTATTCACATTTCATTTCTTCATTGAAAAGACATGAACAATTTACTGATTAAAATAAACTCAGTACAGATATAACGTTTTAATTATTTTAAACGTTGAAACTTATAAGTTTCCTTAAATAATTTTGTGCGCGACATTAAAAATTTCAAATTATGAAACTTGAAGGATTAATGGCACGAGGGGCGTGGATAAATGTAGTTGGTCTTGCTTTAGGTGTAATATTTAGCATAATTGATCAAGTTCGTTCCCAGCGGTCAACACAGTGGACAGAAGGTAGTCTTAGGCTTGTTGGAGGCAGGACTAAACATGAGGGTACAGTATTAATATACCACTGGTCCAGATGGGGAGCGATTTGTCATGATAACTGGGACATTAGAGATGCAAATGTCGTTTGTAAAGAATTGGGATTTGCCGGTGCAAGACAGGCTGTGACAAGGTCCAGATTTGGAAAAGGCCGACGTAAGTTGTTTTCTTTTTTCTTTATTTCAGAAATTGTTTGGTAAATTTGATTAAGAGAAATAACAAATCTGTATAAGTTAATTTCAGCAAAGAATTAAAGGACAAAAGGGAATATTCACAGAAAAATCGTGTGTTCTTTAAAATGTTAATATCGTGACTTCCTTATTATGTTTTCCTTTCTCATGTTCCATTTGAAATCTTGTTTTCTTTTAGTGTAAATAAATCTAAAATACAAATTCTTCGTTTTGTAAGAGCTAAACAAATTGCTAAAATAAGCTTTAAAACTAACTGGCTTGTGATACCTGCATTAAATAAACAAAATGCACTTTTCAGCGGAAAATAAAAGGAAAATAACGCAATACATTCTTACCGTAACTAAATACACAGTGCCCCAATACAACTAACTTACAGATTGATAAAGGCTTCCCCTAGTCGACACTTTCAGTTCATTTATCTAAACATCCGCCATGACAAAAAAATCTCCGATATACAAACTACTTGCGTTCTTCTTATGCTGAGGTCTCGCGTCCAAAATTAAAAGTTTTACATAATTTCCTAATTAATTCGAATTTGAAATGGCTGAACATCGTAAACATATTGTCTTTAGTTTGCGTGTTTTTATGTTTATTATTGTCAAGTTTATATATGCACACTCAGCATAGTTTTCCCGCTGTTAAAAAGCGTACCCGATTGGGGTTAAAGAATCCGATTTAAGTAAAAAATAATACATTGAACTTTCTCAGGTATTTCGGACACTGTTTTCCTTTACATTTACTAATTATTACTTGAATCCGTTCCAAGTTTATATCTACTTATGAATGAATTGTTTTTTTATTGTAGTAGCTTTATTTGTTAGCGGGTGTTTTCCCCACGTTTTTTCTCTTGGAATCAGTAATACATTAAACGAAAGGTATAGGAAAACGAAATGAATTTAGATGAATAAAGTGAAAATATTAGCAATCTATTTCGTATGACTCAGTCCACCCTCGCTTTTTCAGTTCATCCAACAAATATGTATACATAAGCAAATTCTAGACGTTTTTCAGTAAGTATGAACATTTTATACCTGCTGCCTGCGGTTTTAGGAGCATGATGCAGCACGGAGTACAGTGTAATCACTTTGTTAATGATACTCCAGACAAAGTGTTGTGAGGGCCGATTAATTGATGCAAAGTATGCGTGAAACCATATCACGTTATCACAGTATCAGAAAATTGTTAAAAAATATTAACATAGTTTAAGCAAAGATATATTAAAATTTGATATTTCTTTTTACTCGCTTGGTATTACATGTATAATTTTTTTTCCTTTTTTATCTTTTAGTATTCAGTTTGTTCAAGGGAACAGTTTATTTATTAATAGAAGTACCTAATTTTATAGGCTTTTTCTGCCAATAGCTTTCGGAATGTGATAGTTCTATAGCAACATAAATAAATAAATAAATAAATAAATAAATAAATAAAGTAACACATTGATTTGTTTTGCTTTCAGTATAATACCATGATTTGTCTTCTTTTCAGTATATTACCATTTTTTATATATCTAACCAAGACGAATGCTTAATTTTTGGAGGAAATAAAGATATTATTATTATTATTATTATTATTATTCTTTTGGTAAAATAAGCGGGCCCTGGCACATATAACCAAAATAGAAATGATAGGGGATGTGAACTATGTCAGAGTAGCAATATTGAAGATGAATTGTATTTGCATAATTTCAGCTTATGCCTTACTGAGATCAAGATATTTAAATCTCACGCACAAGTATGTTAAAACTTACTAGATAAGATCTTATAAACAAGTTTCATAAACCAACACAGTATATCAATACGTTGTAAAAATCTGTGGGTTTAAGAATTATAAATAAAATTACAAAACTAATATAAATAGGCATTTGATTTTTGGAATCATCCATTAAAGTATATACAATGCATGTCATTTAAACTCATCTTGAATAAATATTTACTCAAATATTTAGATTGTTAAAGAACTTTGATAACAGTAACATGTATTACATTTAATAATTTATTATGTGTTATTATTTGCATACTATCCATGCATATAAAAATATTTACACAACTCCATACATAAACAAATGCATTTTGAATGTAATGATGAACAGTAATCAATCAAATAGGTTTTATATTTTGTTCTGTCCAAAATAAGTACACTGTGCACTCTGTATTCAGCTGCACATAACTGTATGCGTCCCAGCGTGAAAATCAATCTTGACACTTGGCCATTTTCGTATTGCGGTTTTTATATGAATAAATCCCATTGTAAGCTCACCGTGCTCTGTAAATACTTTTAATGAATGCGTGTTTTGTATGTATTTCTCTGCAAGGACTGATTAATATATTTTAGAGTTTCACTAATGATATTATTAAATGCATTCGTTTGTTAACAAAAGAAAAATAATGATACCAAGTAAGGTCTTATCTATAAATAACATCACACTATTATCTTTATAAGTCCTGCTTAAGTTTATTTTTGTTAATTCATTATCAAACCTGGACTTTTTTCTATAAAAGCGTTGAAGGACTTTATTTCCTTGATGTGCAATGTGTATTTTATTCACTCGAGGCATGTGGCGAATTCAACCAACAGACTGTAAAATGCTCTTAGATTTTTTAATGATATCAAACGAAACAGAAAATCACGGAAGAGAGAAGCTCTTTGAAACCTTTGGCGTGAGGTGTCTTTTAAATTGTTACAACACACCCTATAATTACCAAGTGTTTTAGAAATCTTCATGAAACTTTATACGTATTATGTAAGTAAAACGATACATGTAAGATATTTGAAGCATTTTATTAGTGTAGCGGTAGTACAAGACGTTTGAAATAAATAACAGATTAGAGTCAAGGAAAGCGAATGCCATTTCATTCATAAAATATTTCTTTTGATGTTACATTCTTTGCGGGAGGTGCCTTTTATAAACATAGGTATATATTTTTTGAACGTTCTCTGTTAAATCTTCACGTTTCCGTTCTACTCCTCCATGTCAAAATAGATTAAGAACATTTTCCATTTAATGATTTTTTTCTTCTCCAGTAGCGGCGTTAACAATTATCATATACAGTGCAACCTCAGAAAAACATCGCAAAAATTATAAAAATAAATAAATGATAAACGAAATAATAACTGAAAGAAAAACAGATCACACTTTTGAAGACCATCGTATGATTGACCAATAAAAGGACAACTTTTTTTTGTTTAACAACGCACCTTTAAACAAATACGTAAAGCATCATTTTGCTTTCATAAATTTCATAAAACTTCCTTAAAAATACAGATTCAGATGTTTTTAAAATGACCTTATTTTCAACATTAAAATATAACTTGGAGTAAATCTAGAACTGTTCTCTGTAGGTGAACAGAATAAACTGAACATAACTATTCAGCATTGATTTCTTGCATTTGCCACTTGCTCTCACTGAAATATACAAACATATTTCAATAAATTTAAACAATAATTTTGTAAACTTCATAAAGCAGATGTATGGTTTTATACACTTTAACATTACAATAATTTTATGGGATAAATCATATAATCGTATAAACTAAGTATTTGACATAATGACACTTTTTGGCGTCAATTTGACCACTTGTCTATCAATATTAACACGATTTTTTATATTAATATTTGCATCGAAATTCTTATCAAATTCTGATGTTTGTTCGAAAAGTTCGGGGTGTTACTTTAAGTAATCTTTTTGCGACAACGCAATGACTATTATAGAAAGTGTCTTCGATATTTTATATACATTTATAACGGTACGACAAAATAAATAGAAGTATATTTGACTATGCCTTTACTAACACATACTAAGTGTTCATGATTTCATGAGAAGCGTATTTATCAGAAGATAAAACTTTACCCCCTGTGCATTTAGATACCTCCGGCAAAGAGTTGACCATTCGTTCGAGTGCGTGTTACGGAATCCAAGTTTAATTTATTCACTGAAGCACACTTTGATAGCAAGATTTATTGTTGGCATCAATACTCTGTTCACTGTAGTTAGGTATATTTGTATTCACATTGTACCTTTGATCGCTCATCAAGACAACTATTGTTTTATTTCTACAGAGAATTAGTAATATGAAAATAATTAATGCATTTTTGGACATAATTGGAGAGAAGGTCTGGATAAAAACAAAGGGATTCTCAAAGCTACTGTCATATTATCGCTTAACCTAATGAGAATGTTAAATTAAATGTAGAGAAGATTCACACCTAATTAAATTAAAGCATGCATATTTCATATGCTAAATTTGGCTCAAAGATTAGAATACAATGCTGTCTAGATATAACGCTGATAACTTATTCTAAAATATCATAAAGTTTATATCTCGTCAGAAATCTAACCGCTAATTCGGCAGTTATAACTTAGCATTTAACTATACACGCACACCAGAAACATGATAGTGCATGGCCGTTCTGATCCTTTTTTAGTATTGTTAACGATGATGTTCACAAATGTTCTTATCTCTTCTACTCATGAATGGAATACCCAAGAACAAATGAAGCTAAACCGGTGTTCCCAGATTAACGATAATGGCCAATAAAGACAATATGGAATAGAAACCGAAGTCGATTTTTTGGACAATCGCAATGGAGGGTCTGATAGCTTAACAAAGTAAACCGAAACAAAACCGGCGGTATTACTTGACTCGAAAAAGACATATCTTTCAGTCAGTGTCACTCAAATTGAAAACTCAATAAATAAACTATGCCTATCAACTGATACTTAATTGACTTTTGAAATCATACGTCAACACTATTTAGACCCAAGTCTTTCAATTCATTGAATCCACCATGAACTTGATATTTTATTAAAAATATACTATGCATGATATATAGATTTGACACAGTAAACCAATCTATATTATCGTTTTTATTCTGACATAATACCCATAAATTGTAATATTAGATATGTTGTTTTCTATATTTTGTAACACAATTTAGTATGATTTTGGAACATTTGTGCTTGCTTT